ATTAACCCACCCCGACCTTCCCCGCCCTTCTTATTTCTCAGTACAAACCCATCCGGTTGGTGCTACAGAGTCTGTGTACTGTGGTGAGCTTCTTCAAACTCAGACTTGAGTTAAAAGAAGAACGGAGCACTTATGGGTTACTGCCCGTGTGCCATGATGTTGATCCGTTGTTCAAAACCTCATAACTCAATGAAGTGATAATTAGCCACGTTTCGGACAATTTGTATGTAACGTTATTGTTCTAAATCGGCAAACACTGAACACATTGCCCCAGCCCCCCCCCCTTCCAACCCACCCCACCCCACCCTTCCTTCTTTTCCCCCTGAGCTCCCCCGCCGCAGATAACAAAATAAGACCCGTGGCTAAGGCGTTGCGAGTCCGACTCGTAAGCCAGCATACCGCGATCGAAACCCACTGCAGGCTGCGTGGATTTTTGTCGTGGTATGGGACGTCGCAGGTCTACCCAGCCTAAAATGGGTACCAGGATGGGCTGTCCTGGGAAAGTAAAGACAGCCGGCGTAATGCTGACCACATTACCCACAGAGTGCTGACGGTCTATAAAAATATGGGACGCTCTGCCCATATGCCCGATGCGCCGAAAGGCGTAAAAAGGGAACTTTACTTTACTTTTTCACAACAGACTGTGTCTTAGGACTTCATTTTGGAAGGCGTGAAGTTTTATTCATGACTGACTGACCGACGGACTAGCGAAAATCGTCCGTCTAGCTGATGATCCTAATAGGGTTTGGTAGGGCTTATATTACGAGCAGATTTTGTTCGTGAAAAACAAAATCATGCTAGGGTTTAGACATTTTTATACAAGATAGAAATCATAAACATCAATGAATGCTTTAATCAGGGAAGATAACTTTTTTTAAAATCTGGTAAAACAGTCACATCTTATTACTTCCCCGGAGCTATACGTAACGCATGTATCGGATTTACCAACTGCAACAGCTGCTGTGTGTAGTGTAGCGATGGTATCTGCCTAGCACGGGCTATTCATTGATGAAACGTTGTCGCCGAAGACAGCATTTGTATTTAGTGTTATTACTTTTGTAGGCAACATTATCCAATGAGGAGACAACAGTTAATGCTGGTGAATACACGGTTTTAGCTGAAACAGATAATAAAAATGCTCATCGAGTAAACCTGTAAATTGTGGTGTACGAGTCGACTCCTTTTCAGGATGAAATTTTTTATTTGAAGCTCCACCCTGGCTTTTGCCGGGGGTCGCAATATAGGCAGGTCATCATTATGGCCAATTGTCTGAACTCGGTTTCTGGGACCTCTCCACGGTGATCCTCATCCGCATGGTTGCACTTTGTGTCATCGGGTGTTTATCGCTTGTGTGATGTCCTGGTGGGGTAGAAAGTCAGTCAGTCAGTCGACCTCATGGTGTTGAGCTTAAAATTATGAGTTAGGTCTATACCAATATAACACATTTTACACCCACAATATAAGTCGACACCTAGTTCTGGAAATTAAATATACGTCCTATTTCACGCACTGAATTTGAATAATGGGGACACCGAATGCATTGTACAACTGGACTTAGCATACATTGTTGTACCTCACCAGTCGCATTACTACAAACAATGAAGCATATAAAAATACCCGAAATAATCCCTTTGAAAAACACGGGTATTATCTCCCCGATACGCTGTAATTTACGGTAATAAGAAAAACATTGTTCGTTATCCGCGGTAATTTACGGTAATAAGAACCTATTTGTTAGCCTTGCCATGAAGAGAGAGTATTTGACAATGTCGATAGACAAGTTTTATTGGAAATCACCCGCCTCCATTCATCTCTGGTTGGCCTTCTCTTTCCAGGTGATGAATCCAATGTTTGTAGATCTGGATAGTGTCTCTCTATTGTCTTCTTGGTCTGCAAGAAGTGGTCAGTTGCAGTTTCTAATTCTGTCCTTGAAAGTAAAGTCAACTGCGGATGTGTGTGTTATTTAGAATCAGGAGACTGTGTTTGCTGCTGTTGCTACTGATTGATTGGCCGGTTCTGCACTAGTTGCAGATGGGCCGCCCATGAATCGTGCCGACATTGGTTGACCCTAAGATAAATAAGACCGGCGGAGGTTTTTTTGTGGAGCAGCATGTCCACATAACTGATAATAATGTGAGAATTGGAAATAAAGACCGGCACAGACAGGAATAAGAGAGGTACACCGGAACGTCACCGAGTTTTGCTAATTAGCATATACTGTCATTGGTTTATGGTTTGAACAGCAATACAACATCATGGCACACGGGTAAGTGGCACCCATAAGTGCTCCGTTCTTCTTCTATCTCAAGTCTGAGTCCGAAGAAGCTCAGCACAGTGCACAGGCTCTGTAGCACCGGTGAAGACCCTGAAATACTTTAGGTAGATTTTCAACTCAAAATTGTGCCCGGGCGGCGCCGTTAGGGTACTCATTTCGATTTCCAAATGCCAAGGGATTTTTTTATGCGCAACAATGCACACGGGCGTCCGATATCACTACCCAGAGACTTGGGGGAATTAATAGAAGTCCAAGTCCACGTGAAAAAATCCCAGTCCTTACCGGGGACTGAACCCAGAACCTCTAGCACTCTAGACGGACATCATGTCTAGAGACCACGCAGCGCCAAGACTTTCACTAGTGCATATCTTGACAGGGATAAATCTGATCACTTGTGGACCCAACCAACAACTCATTACTGTGTGCGATGTAGCCTCAAGTTGCCCCAGTACATCTGCTTTATACTGTTAAAGGTAGTATCTATGATTTGTTCTGTTTGATTGTGTGTCGTTCAACCGCACTAGGACCTTACAACGAGCGACCAACACCCGGTAACACAAAGTGCCACCATTCTGATGAGGATCACCCAGGCACAAGTCCCAGAAACTCTGTTTAACCGTTAGGTAATGTTAGGGCCCCTAACTACAGCCAGGGTGGGGCTTTAAAATAAAATAAATAAAAAAGGCGTCTCACATTTGGGCGGGAACAGAGTCCTGTTTGATTGCCTAAGAAAGATAGCTCTTTGAGTCACCGCGTATAAAATATCATGCTGCAATCCAAGAAATGTGGAACATTGTAATAACAAATGCGAATGGATACCTAAAGGTTTGCCATAGCATCCTGTGGTTCCGAAATCTCACGGCAGACAGACAAGGTAGATCCCAGATGCCCCGTTCAAACTCCCCCAAAAGGTTACAATTAGCCCACCCGTAACCGCCACACAATCCAGGGGTTAACTGACACTCCTACTATCAGCTGTCGGCGTCTGTGGCTTTACGAGCGAGCTTCGTAATTCTGAGGTGCCGGGTTCAAATCCAGCTGCGGACGATTTGTTTTGCGTTGGTTTCGACAGTGGTACCGAGAGCTAACTGCTCAGAAAGCAATGGCAAATAGCTGAACGTAAAATTTGCCTAACAAACTACAACAGCCAAAAAATGCTGGGGTTGGTTCTTCACTGTTCTGTAAAGGATACGCAATTTACTAACATATTATCTGTTACACAAGAGAAACAACCTTTAACCAAACAATGTTCCCAAATGTCGTCAGCATTTTCAGAGTAGCCTCCCCGCGACGTGATGTTAATTCTGCGCCCGCCTTTGGTGTCGTCGAAGAGGGCGCAGGTTGAAGCGAGGCGAAAGTCGTGCTTTCTTAAGGTAAGCGCTATCTTGTAACTGCTATATAAATATATGTGTCGGGTAAACGTATTGAATTCTAGACATAGCGCTATATAATCAGTGTTTTAGCCTAAGTATAGATTACAGCTTATAAATATATATATCTGGGTATACAAAGCCACTATCTTGTATTTGATTTTAGTTCAAAAAGCGGTGTGTTGACTACTGTTGTGTGTGCCTCTACCGAAATAATCAAATATAGACACTTGTATGTAAGCCAGATAATATGTAAATATTGTTATAGTTTTAACAGTGCTTGAAGAAGGCAAGGTATACAGTAAAGCGTTGACAACCGATAATTCACACCAACTACACACACCTGTTGTGTGTGTTATCTCTATCTTGAGCAGCTGTGCGCAGCACGGCTGATTAATTTCATTCATAAACTACGCATTCTTCACAGTGGGTGTAAAAAAGTGTAGTTACTTTACAACTTTAACTCTTTGGATACCAACTTGAAATCACTTTGTGTCTTTCTTAGCTAACGAGTTTTGCATTAAAGCAAGCAATGGTTGGGTAGGAAGGAATTAGAATAACAACACTGCGGCAGAAACAACTAGTCTGATAGTTTGGATGGAATGATTTATTTTAACCGCTGTCTGTGAAAGAGGACAAGTCATAGAATAGTAGACAAAGTGTTTTTCATAGCCAGTGAATGTATACTGAGTTGATTGGTACAGAAAGAATTAATGCTTTTATTCAAAGAAAATCATAGTTCCCAAGTTATCTTGTTCCCAGTGATTATACACCGTGTTATAATTTTGCCGTCTGCATAAGGTTTCGTACAAGGTGACGGGTATTGATTGGTCTTTAAGTTAACACTACATGATACTTATGATACTACACCCGAACTTGTTTGAATTATTTCTTATCGGAATAACAGAAGTAGTCAACAGTAACATTTAGGTTTGTGTTTGATGTAATATATCCCTACTTGAGGTATTTATTAGTAAGGCCGTGTAGTATGTAGGTCACAGAAGGCAGTCATCGCCACAGTGTGTGTGTGTGCCTGCTTTCAGTGTTAGTAACTGTTTCGTTTATTGGTTTTACCAAGCATCATATAGGCTTCCTTTGGGCATTAGCGCTTATGGCTTTTTGTGCTGTGAATGTAATGAAAACCAGTTATTTGGCAAGACCTTAAGATGACAAATGGAGCATGATAAACCCGCTGGAGCATGGAATTTGTGGATGGTGGCAGTGAAAGGAGAATATTATAGCCACTGGGTAATAAATGTTGTGTAATATAGCTTTGACCTTGAAACAACCTTAAGTTCAAAAGCTCTGGTGGTTACCTAGAGCTTGTTATAGCGTCTGCCAGGGATTTCTTTTAAATGGAAGGTAAATTTGTGTATTGAATTGCTGTAGTTGTGACATTGTTTGTTTGTAAAGTGACAGTTACAAATATAGTTTATAAATAGAGTGACAGTGAAAGATGTATTTTATGTGTAGAATGGCAATAATTGGTATAGTTTATGTGTAGAGTAGCAGTCATGAGTATTGTTATCTTCTTCTTCGTGTTCACCGGCTTTAAACTCAGGCGGAAAGTTCTGGTTGTTCATCCACCTCTGCACTTTAGACATCCGTTTTACATATCTGACTTATTTGTATGCAGTCTGTTGGTTCCTTGCCTCTCAGGCAGATGTACTCTGACTTTGAAGGAAAGCAATTAGTCAACTTTTATGACAAGCTTATTGGAGAGACAGTGGGTCTACTCTTGTTTTTCCCATTATGAGGAGGTATATTTTGTATCAGGGACGCGGTCATGAAAAAAGCATTGGGGGTGGGTGCCACAACTCCTCCCTCACCGCATTAAAAATTGTCTCCAGGGTATGCCGGTGTGTTGGGAAATGAGCAGGCAGCTAGACTGGCTGGCTCTGCACCACTCGGTGGTGAGTTAATGTATGATATGCTAGATATTGTAAGGGCCCTTTGGGAGTAAGTGAACAGTGCAGAGGAGCAGATAGATTATTACAGTCTGAGGAGAATGGCGCTGCAAGGAGTTACCAAGAGATCTGGCAGACGCTCAACACTCAGGGGAAGGATGAGATGCATATACAATCAGACAGTTACAGGTGCCATTGAAATTGGAACTCTTTGCTCGCTGCGAAGATGGGGACGGAGCACTTATGAGAGTGTCCAGAGCGCTGTCATTTTGATTCTTAATTAAACATTCAACAGCATTTAACATTCTTTACAATAAATATTTGGGGGGGGCGGAACCTGAGTGTTGCTTAGTGAACTCAACCACTTTTGCCTTGTCTGGCTTGCTAACAGTTATTTCCAGATAGGACAAACTCAGGCCCGACCCTGTACTGTTGTTCCCAGATAGGACAAACTCAGGCCCGACCCTGTACTGTTGTTCCCAGATAGGACAAACTCAGGCCCGACCCTGTACTGTTGTTCCCAGATAGGACAAACTCAGGCCCGACCCTGTACTGTTGTTCCCAGATAGGACAAACTCAGGCCCGACCCTGTACTGTTGTTCCCAGATAGGACAAACTCAGGCCCGACCCTGTACTGTTGTTCCCAGATAGGACAAACTCAGGCCCGACCCTGTACTGTTAATTAAGGAATGCTGATATTCCTGATTTTTTCTAGTTAAAGTCGTTTCAAGTCAGGAATTTCTCAAGTGTTTCTAGATAGATGGTAAAAATAAGCAGCTTTAAAAAAAGTTTACTCTTATTTGGAGGGGGGGGGGGGGGGGGCTTAAGGAACCTGAGACCCTAGCTAGGTTCCAGCGTCAAGCGTTTATGTGTTAGGTAGCAATAATATGAAAAGTTTATGTATTTAGTTTGTGTGTAATTTGTTTGTTGAGTTGCTGCAGTAGTCACAGATATAGTTTATAAACTTTGTATGTTGAGTGGTCAGTGATAGATATGGTTTTTATATAGAGTAGCAATAATAGATAGTGTAGTTTATGTGTAGAAAAGCAGTGATAGATATAGTTTATGCATAGAATAAGAGTAACTGCTATAGGGTGTGTGTAGAGTAGCAGTAATGGTTTCTGGATAGTTCAAAACAAAGTGTTTACTTTAGTAACAGTGGCATGTAAAGTTCATCTATAGAACTTTAGTAAAGTAACAATGAGAGGTGTAGTCTGTCTGTAAAGAAATGTTAACAGTGACAGAAATACTGAAAGTGTAGATCTATAGGAACAATGACAGATATAGTAAAATGTATAGAACTACTCCCTGCCTGGGTTTCAGGGCAACATTGTAGGGGAGGGGGAAAAAAAGACTCACCGCTTCTCCAAAAAAGCACGTTGAAAGGGTAGACTAACTGGCAGCTTCCTTTGTAGTCGAAGTGCAGCACTTGATAGGCAAAGAAACAAACATCTGCATACAAATAAGCCAGATCTGTAAGACAGATGTGCATCCAACACTCAGCTTCTGGAACAAGACTAAAATTAGGAGATGGACGAATAACCAGAACTTCTGTGAAAGTTTACAGCTGGTGAATAAGAATAAGAAGAAAAGGTATAGAACTATAGTAAAGTGACACTTAGATTGTGAGTGTAGAACTGGAATAAAGTGACATATATATTTTTTTGTGTAGAACTGTAGTAACAGAGACATATAGATTTTACATGTACAGCTATAATAATAGTGACAGATTTTATGTGTAGAACTATAGTAACAGTGACATATAGATTTTGTGTTTAGAACTATAGTAACAGTGACATATAGACTTTGTGTGTAGAACTATAGTAACAGTGACATATAGATTTTGTGTGTAGAACTATAGTAACAGTGACATATAGATTTTGTGTGTAGAACTATAGTAACAGTGACATATAGATTTTGTGTGTAGACCTATAGTTAAATAGTAACAGTGACATATAGATTTTACATGTACAGCTATAATAATAGTGACAAAGATTTTATGTGTAGGAGTACAATAATAGTGACATATAGATTTTGTATGTAGAACTATAGTAATAGTGCCATTTAGATTTTTCTAGAACTATAGTAACTTTGACATATAGATTTTTTTGTAGAACTATAGCAACAGTCATAATAATAGTGACATAGATTTTGTGTGTAGAACTATAGTAACAGTGACATCTAAATTTTTTGTGTAGAACTACAGTAACAGTGACATATTAATTTTTTGTGTAGAACTGTAGTAACAGTGACATATAGATTTTATGTGTAGATAGATTTTATGTGTAAAACTATGGTATCTATGACATGTGGATTTTATGTATAGAACTATAATAATAGTGTCATAGAATGTGTGTGTAGATGAAATGTTAAATAACAGTTACAAATAGATTTTTATGTGTAGAGATATAGTAACAGTGACACATAGACTTTACATGTAAAACTGTAATAACAGTGACACATAGATGTTTGTGTATAGAGCTGTAGTAACAGTGACTTATAGATATTATATGTAGAGGTATAGTAACAGTGAAATATAGATATTATATGTAGAGGTATAGTAACAGTGAAATATAGATATTATATGTAGAGCTATAGTAACAGTGACATATAGATATTATGTGTAGAGGTATAGTAACAGTGAAATATAGATATTATATGTAGAGGTATAGTAACAGTGAAATATAGATATTATATGTAGAGGTATAGTAACAGTGAAATATAGATATTATGTGTAGAGGTATAGTAACAGTGAAATATAGATATTATATGTAGAGGTATAGTAACAGTGAAATATAGATATTATGTGTAGAGGTATAGTAACAGTGAAATATAGATATTATATGTAGAGCTATAGTAACAGTGACATATAGATATTATTTATTAAAGTTAAAGTTAGTTGCTTATGCTTTACAGGACGTTGCAGAACCAACCCCAGCATTTTTTGGCTGTTGTGGTTTTTCTAGGCAAGTTTTAGGTTCAGTAGTTTGCCATTTCTTTCTGAACAGCCAGCCCTAGGTATCACTGTCGAACCAGCGCAAGACAGTTCGCCCACAGCAGGGATTGAACCAGGGACCCCAGCATTATGAATTGCGTTCGCAGAGTATAAGCCACAGACGCTGACAGATTTTACAAATAGAACTTTAAAAATAGTGACACAAAGATTTCATGTGTTGAAAGCTATAGTAACAGTGACATATATATTTTATATATGTATAATGGCATCCGTCAGTCCCGGGGGACTATGGAGATGTGCCGCTGGCTTTGGGAACAGCATCTGCTGTGACTGTAAAGTCCGATGCGGGAATGGCAGTCTTTGCCACACAGAATACACACAAAAGCAGATACTCTCTCGTTGTGAGGCAGTTTTACTCTCCGGTGTCTCCTCTCCACAGCTCGTTGTGTTCGGTTTCTTTCAAAAAGTGACAGTGACAGTGTTATATATGTAGAGTTATAGATACCAGTGAAATATAAATTTTTCATTATAGAACTTTATTAAAAGTGACACATATATTTTATGTTTTTAGAGCTAAATTAACGATGGCATATATTTATATGTAGGGCTATAGTAACAATGAAATGAATATTTTTTGTATGTAGCTATATTAACCATGATATGTATATTTTGTGTGTAGAGTAATCATGCAAGGTATAGTTAATTGGTAGAACTATTTTAACAAGAAAAGTTATAGTTTATGTGTAGGGATATAAACTGAGCATCTAGCTGCTACACCACTGTGGGGTCGTGGTTACCGCAATAGATATAGTTTATTTGTTTGGCTATAGTAACAGCAATACACGTGCGCACGTGCTCACACACACACTTTATTTATGTATAGTTTATGTGTGGAACCATAACAACAGTGACTTACATACTTTATTGTAGAGATATAGTAACAGTAGTATATAGTTTATGTTTAGAACTATTGTTGCAGTGACGTATAGTTTATGTTTAGAACTATTGTGCAGTGACATAAAAAGTTTATGGTAGAGATAAAATAATAGTAACATATAGTTTATTTGAACTATTGTACCAATGATATAAATAGTTTAAGGTAAAGATTTAGTAATAGAAACATATAGTTTATGTGTACTGCTATAGTAACAGTGACTTATTTAGTTTTTGATAGAGATATCAAAACAGTAACCTTTGGTTAATGTATAGAACTATAGTAACAGTAACATATACTATACATATACAGTTTTCGATAGTGTATGCATAGAGCTGTAATAAATGTAACAGACTTAGTTTCCATGTAGAGGTATAGAGAAGAGTAGGCATACACACTTCCCCCCTCCCCCCCCCCCCCCCCCAGCATGTCATTTAATTAGGGGTGTTTTCTTGATGTTGGAGTACATCTGCCTAAGAGGAGAGGAACCAACAGTCTGCATAGAAATAAGCCAGATGTGCAGAAAGGGATGTGCATGCAAAACTCAAGTTCTGGAACACAGCTAAAGTGCGGCAGTGGATGACCAATCAGAACTTTCTGCCAGAGTTTCCAGCTGATGAATGCCAAGAAAAAGAATGACAGGCTGTTTGCACAGTCAGAATTTCAATTTGTAAATAAAGACGCCATGCAAGGTTAACTAAGATGTCATATTTGCAGTGTCAACATTTTAATTTGTCTCTTGCTTTAAAGAAGACATTCATCTGTCTGCCATATTCTGTGTAATTATACCTAATTGCCAGCTTTGCTGTTCCCTAATTGATTTCATGATTTGCCTAAAACCTTCATGGCTGATCCTACATTGAATATTATTTCCACTTTATATGCAGTTTGGGGTTTTCAGTTGTCATGTACATTAATATGTTGGAAATGCAAACTTTATAGAAAATGTGTTAACAAGTAATTTTGGAGTAGAAGTTGAGGCTTTGAAAACTGCAGATAAAAAGCTGTTTGCTGAATGATAAAGAAAAGCATGTAACTATCTTGACAGATGTTTAGTGCTGTCTCAGAACTGAAAAACAAATACAAATCCAAATTAGCAGACCTAAGAGCGACACTCAGAAGTATTTGTTAGAAATTGAAAATGGTTATTATACGGTAGATGTTGTCCAGTGGCAGCTTGCAGCATAGTAAGTAAACAATTTAAGAATCCTTTTCCATGCCCTTAGGCATATAGGGCTAGACCTATATTTTATAGACCAATCAGCACTTGGCGGGCAATGTCAGCATCACGTCGACCACATTTACTTCCCAGGACTGCACCTGGTACCCACTCAATGATGGGTTGACCTGGGGAGCCATGATCATTTTTGAAAAAGAGTCTGGCTCCACCAGGACGCGAACACATCATGACCTGATCCGTAGGCGAGGATCTAACTGCTACGCAACAGCGACTCACAGAATGCAACATGCCTGGAATTAAAGAGAATTACAAAGAAAGCAAAGAAAGGTGGAAAATTAGCTCAGTCTGTTGCTGTAATCATCACAAACGATGAGGCCAAGAGGTTTATAAGAAGTACTTACAGAACCCAGTGGGCCTGATGCACCCAGACCACAAGAAGAATGATGGAAACTACCAACTTGAGTGAGGGAAGCAAGTAGCAGTCCTGAGATAGAGTTGGTGTAACTCCATATGTTGGTTTAGGGATCCTTATTGAGGGAATGGGGGAGGGGGGGGGGGTGAGGGAGAAATCCCAACTTTCCCCTAACAAGCATGTTGTAAAAGGTGAAAACTGTAACCTTGACATCTCTACAGGAACACTTGTACTGGACAAGAGAGAAATTCTGAAAACCACATATGAAATAATTCTGATATAAGACACGTAGCTAGATGAAGTAACCTGTGTAAGAATGTGTGAATGAGGATTTAGGTGTGGATCATGCAAGGAGGCACGTATGAGAGGAAAAGAACAACAAGTTCATATTCAGTGTACTACAGCAACAGTTAGCATCTACACATCAAGACATTTACTGCGGAAGACTGAGCACCTCTGTGTATGCACAATTATAACTCTAATAGGGTGTACAGAATATTTATTGTCTTCTGCGTTTGGCTTTTAAGGATAGTTGGCACATTGTTTTATGTTTTATAGCTAGGCTGTAATATGTATGCCATTGGCAAAGTCCAAAATAGTCACTTTCTGCGACCTGCCTTTCAGGGTCTCCAACCCCACTCTGGGCTCTGGAACCCACTTAGGGTGAGCATGATATTATTTGTAATCTGCTACTGGTTCTTCAAGTATTTGAATTTTATTACAGTTATTTGTGCATGTTTTTTGTGTGGTGCAGTGTTTATTGTTCAGAATATTCACTGTTACAATTTAGGACCAGAAGGCCACAAAATGTCTTGTGAAGGCAATTTAGAAGCAAATAAAATGGGAGAACCAGACCCACAGAGTGTGGAAAACAATGTTACCCACAAAAGGAGGCAAAAAGAGTCGGTTCATCATGCCCACTTTGTGGTGCCTCCGCAACAAGGTATGTTGATACCATGTAGTGCATTACTTCTGTTTTATTTTTTGTTAGTGCTAAAGTGAAGTCTCATATGTTTTTCTCCTGTTTAATTGAAAAGTGAAATCTAATAGACCTTGTAATCTGTCTTCTAATTTGATTTAAAGTTCACATACCATATATCTTTAAAACTTTCTTCTAATTTAAACGTAAGATCAGATCGAAATTGGAACAAATAAATAAATGAATGAATGAACAAACAAACTTTATTTTCAAAGGGTTAAGAATGGGGTATGCAGGCCCATCTGACATTCTGGCCTCACTCCTTACATGCATTATTCCATTCATACATCAATTAGCAGACAAATAATACCCATCATCAACATCTAGTTCCTAGTTACAATTTCTTGGATATGCTCTAATTATACCTACACTTCCAAAAAAAGAGAAAAACAGACCAATCAAGGAATTATTTTTCTGCCATTAGACATGTTAAGTTAATGATATTCTTCTTCTTCTTCTGCTTTTCTATCCCCCAATGAAGCAAAGGCCCTCAATTAACTCACGCCAAGTCGTTCTATCTTTCACCATTACATGAATCTCTCCTGATGTCCCCCCATCTTTCTAACTTCATTCTCCAGCTCTCTTCTCGATGTGTTTTTTTTTGCCCTAATTTATTCCTGTGCCCCTATGGGTTCCAATGCAAAGACATTCTAGTTATGCTGTTCTCCTGTTTTCTCAGTGTGTGTCCTATCCAACGTCAGCATCTTTTCCTCACCTCTTGGTCCACTGGAGCCTGTTTAGTTCTCTCCCAAAGCTCTACATTAGTTATTCTATCATACCATTTAATTCCCTCTATTCTGCGCAGGCACCAGTTAATGAATGTTATTATGCACAAGCTAGCACTTAACGACCATCTAGCACTTAACGACCATATCATACCAGCACCTGTATTTTCCAGAACCTTTCCTGATATCAATTTAAGACCGTATCTGCCAGAAATAAATGGTCAGATCAGTTAAATAAAATGTCCCCTAGTCTAATGGGGATTTAAACACAAGACTACTGAGATATCAGGTGTATTTGCTAGCCTTTACACCACCACAACACCCATTTGTACATATAATTTGATTTAAAGTTCACATACCATATATCTTTAAAACTTTCTTCTAATTTAAACGTAAGATCAGATCGAAATTGGAACAAATAAATAAATGAATGAATGAACAAACAAACTTTATTTTCAAAGGGTTAAGAATGGGGTATGCAGGCCCATCTGACATTCTGGCCTCACTCCTTACATGCATTATTCCATTCATACATCAATTAGCAGACAAATAATACCCATCATCAACATCTAGTTCCTAGTTACAATTTCTTGGATATGCTCTAATTATACCTACACTTCCAAAAAAAGAGAAAAACAGACCAATCAAGGAATTATTTTTCTGCCATTAGACATGTTAAGTTAATGATATTCTTCTTCTTCTTCTGCTTTTCTATCCCCCAATGAAGCAAAGCCCTCAATTAACTCACGCCAAGTCGTTCTATCTTTCACCATTACATGAATCTCTCCTGATGTCCCCCCATCTTTCTAACTTCATTCTCCAGCTCTCTTCTCGATGTGTTTTTTTTTTTGCCCTAATTTATTCCTGTGCCCCTATGGGTTCCAATGCAAAGACATTCTAGTTATGCTGTTCTCCTGTTTTCTCAGTGTGTGTCCTATCCAACGTCAGCATCTTTTCCTCACCTCTTGGTCCACTGGAGCCTGTTTAGTTCTCTCCCAAAGCTCTACATTAGTTATTCTATCATACCATTTAATTCCCTCTATTCTGCGCAGGCACCAGTTAATGAATGTTATTATGCACAAGCTAGCACTTAACGACCATCTAGCACTTAACGACCATATCATACCAGCACCTGTATTTTCCAGAACCTTTCCTGATATCAATTTAAGACCGTATCTGCCAGAAATAAATGGTCAGATCAGTTAAATAAAATGTCCCTAGTCTAATGGGGATTTAAACACAAGACTACTGAGATATCAGGTGTATTTGCTAGCCTTTACACCACCACAACACCCATTTGTACATATAATTTGATTTAAAGTTCACATACCATATATCTTTAAAACTTTCTTCTAATTTAAACGTAAGATCAGATCGAAATTGGAACAAATAAATAAATGAATGAATGAACAAACAAACTTTATTTTCAAAGGGTTAAGAATGGGGTATGCAGGCCCATCTGACATTCTGGCCTCACTCCTTACATGCATTATTCCATTCATACATCAATTAGCAGACAAATAATACCCATCATCAACATCTAGTTCCTAGTTACAATTTCTTGGATATGCTCTAATTATACCTACACTTCCAAAAAAAGAGAAAAACAGACCAATCAAGGAATTATTTTTCTGCCATTAGACATGTTAAGTTAATGATATTCTTCTTCTTCTTCTGCTTTTCTATCCCCCAATGAAGCAAAGGCCCTCAATTAACTCACGCCAAGTCGTTCTATCTTTCACCATTACATGAATCTCTCCTGATGTCCCCCCATCTTTCTAACTTCATTCTCCAGCTCTCTTCTCGATGTGTTTTTTTTTGCCCTAATTTATTCCTGTGCCCCTATGGGTTCCAATGCAAAGACATTCTAGTTATGCTGTTCTCCTGTTTTCTCAGTGTGTGTCCTATCCAACGTCAGCATCTTTTCCTCACCTCTTGGTCCACTGGAGCCTGTTTAGTTCTCTCCCAAAGCTCTACATTAGTTATTCTATCATACCATTTAATTCCCTCTATTCTGCGCAGGCACCAGTTAATGAATGTTATTATGCACAAGCTAGCACTTAACGACCATCTAGCACTTAACGACCATATCATACCAGCACCTGTATTTTCCAGAACCTTTCCTGATATCAATTTAAGACCTTATCTGCCAGAAATAAATGGTCAGATCAGTTAAATAAAATGTCCCTAGTCTAATGGGGATTTAAACACAAGACTACTGAGATATCAGGTGTATTTGCTAGCCTTTACACCACCACAACACCCATTTGTACATATAATTTGATTATATGTACATGAAGCATGTCAAATTGGCAGCACAAGCACACCTACGGCCAGCAATATTCTGCAATAAATTTTATCAGATGACTTCATTTATTTGTTGTGTGTGGCCCCCAGGGTACCTTCAGTTTGACATGCCTGATGTACATTGACCAAGATTGCTCCAGAGTTAATTGTGACTTAACTAACAAGGAGACATTACTTAAAACTAGTATCCAGGAAAGGAGCCTGTGCACTGTGCTGAGCTTCTTCGGACTCAGACTTGAGTTAGAAGAAGAACGGAGCACTTATGGGCTACAACCCTGTGCCATGATATTGATCCATTGTTCAAAACCTCAAAATCCAAGAAAGGTGGCCGAAAACCCACACCAACTTTTCCCCCAAGACACACCCAGTGCCTCTCTTGAAAGGGACAGTGTATCACATACAGACTTAGAACAAGGCAATACAGACATCACAAACATATGTTCACGTTTGTCAATATAGGAAAAACAGTGATGCGTCCTTACAACTTGGCACCAGAAAATGTTGAGCATATATTCCAACACTGTAAACTACATGTTGCTAACAAAGAAGCCAGCTAACCTATTCGAACCTCACTGAAGACAAAGGGTTTAGCTACACTGGGAAATTTATGCTGTAGCTTTCATTGAGGCTGCTGGCCTCCTGATCTAGGTTTTTCCCAACAGACGTTTCGAAAAAAAAAAGCTGAAAAGTGCATTGGTTGATTAAGAAACTTGTCATTGACTTTTGGTTGCTTCCCAGTTCAAACCCAAGAAGTAGCAGGATATTCTCTCTCTCTCTCTCTCTCTCATATTGTACCCCACCAGGACATCACACAAGCGATAAACACTTGATGACACAAAGTGCCACCATGCGGAGAGGATTACCCATGGAGAGGTGCCAGAAACCGCATTCAGCCATTAGACCATATTTAGGGTCGGGCAATATTGCGGCTTCAAATAACGGAAAATTGCATCTCACAAGGAAGTGACTGGATATAGCAGGATAAATTCCTACCAGAACAGATCTGTGGTCACCCTAGCTTCATAAAAATGGGTACCAAATATTTTCTAAGATGGAAAATCAGTGAGAAAAAGAGCTGATTATGCTACCTACAATGTCATTGCCAACAATGTTAATTAGTTCTCATTTCCAGCTTTATGGCAAATGGGTGCTAAGTGGTCTCAAGGTCCCGAGTGCTGGAGGATTTTTTAAAGTGGACTTTTAGTTATTTCCCCTGGTCTCTGGGTAGTAAGATCAGATGCCAGTGTGTATTGTTGTGCACATGAAAAAATCCCTTGGCGCTTGGAAAAGAGTAGCCTAACAGCGCTGCCTAAGCAAAATTTAGAGTTGAAAATCTGCTCAAAGTATTTCAGGATCCTCGCTGGTGCAACAGAGATTTTGCACTGTGCTGAGATTCTTCGGACTCAGGTTTGAGTTAGAGGTAGAACAAAGCACTTATAGGTTACTACCCTTGTGCCGTGATCATGATCCGTCGTATACAATAAAAAAGTGTAATTGAAAACCGCACAAAATGCCCACAACTGTACCATGTGGACAAATTGAAATAGAGTGCGGTTTTGGCAAAGCAAAGACTACACACATGCATTACAAGCATATGGTAGCCCCTCGGAACTGCCACAACAAATCAGCCATTGCACATGCAATATTGCATGCAGCACCAGGCCAATAGGCTCAGAATTTCTAAAATCCAACACTTCACACCACTATAACAGTATCTACTAAGGGACTAACTTTACTTTCACCATAATTTTTATTTTTCTCTTATTTCTGGCAGATGTTTTGGAAGCCCATGACTCAATAATCTTGGTAGAACCTCTAGGAGAGGACACCTTGAACGTTAGGCTTGGCTTCTTGCAAGTCATGCATGTCTATGATGTTCAGTTCAGCATTGAAGACGATCTTGGGGAGGATGTAACATTTGATCCCTTAGAGAATGTCCATGCAAAAATTGAATCCATTAGACCTTCAGTAGATGGTAAGTGTCATGTTCAGGGTGGAATGGGCCTAAAGGAGTTTAAGCCTGATTTAAGGGTGCAAAAATAATAATTAAGGCTGAATGTAAAATAAGTATTTATATTTCAAATGCAAATACACCAGAAAGGGTAACCCGGTCGACAAATACCTGCAGAAGTTAGATATATCGGCAGAAAAGTGCAAATATCTCAGCTGTGCTGTGAACATAGATGAAGAAAATCCGGGTACTAAAAATGGGCACCTCTATGCAAAATTAAGGGCACTTAACCTTTTCTGTTTGAAACTCAGCTCCCTTATCGGAGGAGGGATGGTGTGTGTGTGTGTGTTTTGAGGCCCCATCGTGGGGGGGAGGGGGTTGGAGGGGAGGGGGACAGTGCCTCCTAAAAACCATGAATGGACTAATTATTGATGTTTCCTTTTAAGTCAGAGTTTATTAGCCTAAAAAGGAGGAACCAGCAGTTTGCATACAAATAAGCCAGATCTGTAAAATGGTTGTGCATGCAAAACTCAGGTTTTTGACCGAGACTTAAGTCTAGAAAGGAATGAACAACCAGAACTTTGTGCTGGAGTTTACAGCTGGTTAGTGTTAAGAAAAAAAGAAGTACTCTTTTTCTTTCTTTCTTTCCATAAACTTTTCTTTCAACATATTGTCTTTGTGTTTTTCTATTCTCAAAGTGTGACTGAAAATGAAATATTACCTTTCCTATGTTTGTGATATGTTGTGATAATCCTTGTTATATTTTTTATAAGGTTTGCTTATTGGTTGTCCAGACTTCACTATCATGTGCCTAGGTATTCAAATGTCTGAAATTCAGAAGTGATCTTACTTGATGCTAGGAATGTGCATTTAGCTCAGAAAAAAGGTGTGACTATTTTCTCAGAGACAACCCCCATTTGAGCCTCTCAGATAGATTAGAATTATGCCTGAAATGATTGGGGGGGGCCACAGTAGGCCAGCAGCTTGCGTTCTTGTCCAAAGGTTTAGAGCCCAATTATGCTTAAAAGCAGATTTTTATTATTTATCTGGTCTCCCAGGTTGAAAGAGCCTGGGTGATAGAAAATATCCAGGAATTTATACATGGCCAGTGTGCTTTTTATCTGCACCACCTATTGAGTAACAACAACAGGTCTTTAACTTTTTTCCCCTAAGAAGGCCTGTTTCCATCCATTATAAGGGTTTTTATGACAAATCTTTGGGAAGAGGCCAGTATGCCTATATTAGGCAGACCTGATAAGAGAAACACACCGGGGACTCAAGAAATCTTATCATAAATTCTTCTTACCCTGATAAGAATTTAAGCAAGCAAAATTGCCTGGGATCAGAAAATGGTTTTTGACCATAGCAATTACCAGATCCAAGATGGCCTCAAGTGGTCTGCACTGTAACATAGTTTTGGTAATGGTTGCAACTGCCTAATGTATAGATGTGGATGGTATGATTATATTAAAAACTTGTTTAAAGACTTTATTTTTGGTGAAATCATCATTTTTGTTTTGGTCATTGTGATGTCTTCTTCTTCTTTTGTTGTCTCACTGTTACCGGGTTGTAACTAGTGTCGTGGTTTTCTGTATTTGTGGCCAAAATGCCACGTTAAAGTCCTTAATTGTTCCAAATCAAAAAATATTTTCAAGTTTTAAGAGAGGTTAAAATGATTTCAATCATAAATTATACCTCTGGCAGCTTAAAGCAGATTTAAATTCCTAGAAAAATGGCATGTTTTTTATAGTCTCATTTTGAGAACCCCTGTTGATAGCCTTATCTTTTATTAAACATTGTGAACCTTTGTTTTCTGCTCATGTGTTTTTCAATTTAAGTTCCAGGAATAACATAAATCCTACCACTCCATTTTGTTTACCATCCTCTGACAATGTCAGCTTAAGAAAAATATTGATTTCATCATGTTTGATGATGCAGTTAACACACATTTAATACCAGATTGGATAGTGAAGTAAAAATATGACAGCAATGTGGAAGTAATAAAGTACACACACATACACAAATAATCTAAGAGGTTTTTAGAAAATGACTGAATATTGTACTACGGCTTGAAATTTAAAAAAAAACATTTATTTTTATTTTTAATCAAAGACATAACTACATTATTTACATTTCATTCTCCAGAAACCATGCATCATAAGTCTGCTAGATTTTCTCATTAATATTTAAACACATTATTTAGTCTACCTGTTTCAGAATGTGCTTTCCTTGCCAGACCTGTTGAATAATTTCAATAGATTTATTTTTAATTTAATATATTTTCCATGCTAACTTATCAGCATATTTTTCCTAGTTCATGTTTTTGTTACGAATAACAGTTTGTATTAGTTTTCAGTCTCTATAATTTGGTGTGTTTAAGAGCTCTGTGTCCCAGACATTTAAAAAAAAAACATTTTCTACCTAAAATGTTTAAAATGGTTACCAATTGGTTACCAAACTGGTTACCAATTGAGTTCCTGTTAACACGGTTTGCTGTATCACTTTAACTGCCTCTGTTCCAAAAATGTATTACTTTGATTACCTCTACTTCTTCTCTACTTTAATATCGTAATTACTGCTGTTTCTGTTTATTTCTTTATCTTATTATGCATGTATAGTCTGCACGTGAGTATAGGCTGCAATTTGTTTATGAGATGATAATTTTATGAAAAAGTAAATTTTATAGATTTTAATCGAGACCAACACTGACCAAGACCAGTACCTGTAAGCAGTGGAAGATGAGCCGCGTAAGAGCAAGTTACACTTGTAAATTTTTGCTGCAAGCAGTGCACTATGTGCAAGTGAATTTAAAGCCAGTTATGGCTAGGCAGGGTGCTTTATGGCACAAAATGACTTTGAGATTCAGCGGTAGATGCCCCTGTCGGGCACAGCGATTTCCCAACACCTACCAAGAGAAACTGTTAAGTTTCAAAAACATGTTCTGAAGTTACAGAAGACACACAACTACAGCATGGGACAATTTGAAATACAGATTAAACTGCTCTTTATGAATAAATTGTTTATAAGTAACATAACCTAATATTTCAATTATAAACTGCACCGTCTTTGTCATCAATGATTTTCAGTTAAAATACTACACTGTGTCATCATTGTGTAGCAGGTCTTCTGCAGAACACTGCTGTCACCGTAGTCTGCCTGAAGGAAATGGGGTCTTCTCACCCGCTTTGTGCACTTTCATATTTAAGGAGGCCTTATATCCTTGTCCATATCCTGGTACCATGCCTTCTGCTATTATTATTCCAATCTACCATGGCACTTGATAGGACCAAAATATTTCAAATCTATTAAATGTCAGTATTTTTTCTCTTATGGCATTTTAGCTCAAAAACCCCTATTTTCTTTCTTAAGGACTGGGAGATAGTCCAATACTCACATTCGTATGTTGCTAAAGGGAAGATGCATGCTTTCAAGATTTTGACTTTGATTTCCTTTCTGGTGCTTAATCACATAATTTTAATGTTATTTAACTTTGTATTGCTATGGCCATCCTTCTTTTGATTTCAGCCAGTCTCCATTGCTATTTATTATATAGCCTAAATATTCATAGTTTGTGACATTCTAAATTTCTTCATCATTTATTATTTTTTGGATGACGGCCAGTTTTCTCTGTGGACATTATTTAAATTTTCTTTAAATTCAAGAACAGGTTTTGATCCTCACTGTGTTTTTTAACAGACATGATTAAATTTTCTATTCCCTTTACACTGTTTGAAAGGAGGACTATGTCATCTGCATAGTGAAGTTCGAATAGGGTTGCCACCAGTTATGAGCAATTCGTACCTGTCACAATAAGGTCATTTCTTGTACATTTCTTATTATGTTTTCTGCATATATATTGAATAGCTATGGTTGAGCTTGATATATCAAATATGTGCTGTACCATATTTTTATCAACGATTTTTGGTTAAAATACTGCAGCTTGTAGACATGTCAACATGGTACTGCTGCTCTAGATAATAACATGTCAACATGGTACTTCTGCTCTAGATAATAACATGTCAACATGGTACTTCTGCTCTAGATAATAACATGTCAACCTGGTACTTCTGCTCCAGGTAATAACATGTCAACATGGTACTTCTGCTCTAGATAATAACATGTCAACCTGGTACTTCTGCTCTAGATAATAACATATCAACATGGTACTTCTGCTCTAGATAATAACATGTCAACATGGTACTTCTGCTCTAGATAATAACATGTCAACATGGTACTTCTGCTCTAGGTAATAACATGTCAACATGGTACTTTTGCTCTAGATAATAACATGTCAACATTGTACTTCTGCTCTAGATAATAACATGTCAACATGGTACTTCTCCTCTAGGTAATAACATGTCAACATGGTACTTCTGCTCTAGATAATAACATGTCAACATGGTACTTCTGCTCTAGGTAATAACATGTCAACATGGAACTTCTGCTCTAGATAATAACATGTCAACATGGTACTTCTGCTCTAGATAATAAATACTTAACTCTGTATACCCAGGAGATTTTTGTTACATATATAATGTTAATTTTGTAGTTGATGAAATCGCCCATTTGCCTGAAGGTCCGCCTTCCATTGCAGGTAAAGGTCACGACATAGTTCTGACATTCAGAGCTTTGAAGGAGAAGATCATGCAGGAAGCCGTTACAATAACCAGCATTAGCAGTCCATCAAGGTCACTGGTCTTGCAGCTACACGCCAGAGTTTTAGGTAAGTGATGTTCAACTGCAGTTTTTGTGTGTTCCGAGTGTGTATTTATTTATTATTTAACTCTTTGAGTCCCAGGGAACGCATCATACGCTCATAGGTTCCTACCTGGAAGCCCAATGAACGCATGATGTGTCGATTTTAATCTCTCTTTACTACCTATTGGGCCTGTGATGATAAACCCCCTGGGACTCAAAGAGTTAAATCTTCTGCCCATCTATGATGACGTAGTTGTGCACTTGCTTGACAGAAGAGAGACCTCCTTAAAGGTAGAAATATCTTTCTGTTCTTTTTGTTTAGACTGTATCTGCTTTGTGCAACTAGGCATCACAGTTTATTAGGTGATAGGTGAAAAAGCTAAGAGGCGAAGTCTTCCCAAGCTAAGGGGCGAAGTCTTCAGCTCTTGGTGACCCTTCAGTCTGTTTGCTTCTATATCTTCTTCTGCTTCTTCTTCTTTCTTCTTTGTTCACCGACTGTGAGCTCTGGCAGAAAGTCCTGATTATTCGTCCAATTGGACTTTGGCTGTGTGCTAGAGCCTGAGTTTTGTGTGTACATCCGTTTTACTGGCTTATTTGTGTGCAGTTGGTTATCCCTTGCCACACAGGCAGATGCACTCTGACTTTGAAGGAAGTCCCCAGTGAGAGAACTCCAGCGACATGCTTGTTGGGGAGAGTGGGTCTATTCTTGTTTTCCCCACAATGGGATCCTTGAACCCACATGGGGAGCTTCTAGATCTACCTTTGCCTCTTGATGTTTTAATTTTCAGCTCTTGTTGCAGGCATCATGGGACTCATTCTCACTAGGTGGCCGAACTCCGCCCCCCCCCCCCCCCCCCACTTTTCCCAATAAGTATTTCATAAAAAATCAACTAATGAGAGGTGTTTCATAAAAGTTAGAGAGCAAAAGAAGCAACAGTCTGCATATAAAAGCCAGATTTGTAAAATGGATTTGCAAGCAAAACTAAAATCTTGAAAAATAAGTGGACGAACAACCAACACTTTCTGCTGGAGTTTACACTGGTGAATGCTAAGTAGAAGACAAAGATGAGTTGAGTAAAGAATTGACATCACAGCACATATGCATTCCTATATGCGCTCAGTCCTCATCTTCAGCAGCCAGTGCAGAGTTTTTAATACTAATTATACCAGTCTGTTTATATGTATATCTTGCCTTTCCTCTTAGTGTAGTGAGCGGACCAGACTTTTTGGTCACACCCAGGTGCATCATTCTCTCCAGGCCATAATAATCTGGTTTCTCTTCTGACTTTGTCACTAGTTCCCCAAGGCCCTTGACCACATCTGCCATCATGTATCTATTCACCATCCAGTGGTGCAGATCCAGCCAATCTGTCTGCCTGTTCATTCCCCACCATGCTGGCATGACCTGAGGAAGAAGAAGAAGATATAAAGCCTTAAATTTGAGCATTATTAAATCAGTGAACAGTCTTAATCATCTTCTTCTAGTGGAGACTGAGCATCAGTGAATGTTTATTCCAAGTACAGTTATATTAATTTCAGGCGATCATTAAATAAATGATAACTCTCATATATTATTTGAGTCCTTCGCTGTGCATTTACCTATAATCTATAAATATAAATTTACCTGTAAATCTCTCTTTTTCATTTTCTTGTAATCTGGGATTGTTGTGGTTGTAGGTCCACCCAGCCTTAAATTGATACCTGGTAATGTCCATGGAAGTAAAGGTGGATGACATGATGTTGACCACATCATTCATTGAGTAAAGTAAAGGACCCTTTTCCATGTCTTTGGGCATATAGGGCTAGACCTATATTTGTATAGACTAACTGGCACAAGATGGGTGATGTGGTCAGCATCATGCCGGCCGCCTTTACTTCCCAGGCTGCACCTGGTCGACCTAAGAGCCAAGGTCATTTTTGGAAAAAGTCCGGCTCCGCGAGGGAGCGAACCCACGACCTTTTGATCCATGGCGAGCATCTAGTCGCTCGGCCACGGCGACTATCCACTGAGTGCCTGTATGGAAATGTGAATCCTTCACTTATTGTACTTTATTTACATGTAATCCTTCATTTTTCTGTGTGTAACTTGTACTTAACTGTAACCTGGAATCCTTTGCCCACCTATAATCTTTCCTTTATTGTGATGACAGGTAAAGGAAAAGGAACTCCTCTACTTAAAAAAGGCATTCACTGTGTGAGAATAGAATGGGAAGAAGAAGCAGACGGAACTGACTGGCAAGGATAGGCTGTGAATGTGTCTTTAGCCTCATAAATCATGTTTCATTTTTATAATAGACTGGCATAAGATAGGCTGTGAATCTGACTTTAGCCTCATAAATCATGTTTCATTTTTTAACAAATTCAGCCATGTTTATGTAGTTGAAACTGTGCCAAAGTTACCAAAGGGGTAAATAATCTGTATAGAGAAAATCAAGTTTGAACATTACAGACTAAAGAAAAATTGCGTATTTCTTCATTTTGACCTATGTGGGGTAGAAATTTACATGCATATCTTTGGCATACTGTAAAGTTACAACTGAAAATGCACATGATAATCTTATTTAGGTGACTTTGGCATAGTGCCAATGAAATTTCGCCTCTATTATTTTTATTTTGACATTTACCTGAAAGTGTATTTCAGTAAAATTTGCTTTCCTGAGCTCTCATTTGTATTAATTACCCTTGAACATGCTTCATGGAAAACAAGATGTAATTTCATAAATCAAATATGGGGACAATGTTTTTAGTGTAACTGAATATCCAAATTCTAGCTGGAGGTTAAGGAGTTGAAGGTCTTAAATAACTATTAGGTGGCATTAGCATCTATGATGGGTATTGTTTGAAGCATTCATGGGTTGTGAAGTGGGTGCTCTTCATGTTCCCAGGTCCAGGATTAGAGTAACTTCCCTTGCCATTCATGCCTCCTTAGATCACTGGACCTCTCCTATGTTGCGGGGAAGTCATATTTTCTTGATTGTGAACGGTTTAACAGTTGCCTCTTTTCTCGCTTTCTCCCCGTTCGCATGCGTGATTATTTTCCTATTCTGCTACCTGCGCGACGGTTAGGCAGTATGGAAACAGCAATATTTTTTTTTATTCCTCCCTCCTTGTAACTGCTTTCTTTCTCTCGAGAGAAAGCCACCGCCAGTGGACATAGAAATACAAAAACCTCCCAGTTTTAATGGTCAAGAATCCCCGTGCCTGTGGCGCTTTCCCCTCCAGTACTTCTTACTTGTTCACAGGCGCCCGTGGTGCCTGAAATAGACTCACAACAACGCAACCTCTTACAAACATTACATACACCAAGCGAACCCCAAACGAAGCCATATATGTATACATATGTGTATTTGCATGTGTATGTATGAATATACACATGTTTCACAAGTTGTTTATTGTTAGTATTAAATGAATTAAACATGCATAATACAGAAAATGTAATTGCTGTGTGAAAGATGAATGGTTGGAAGGGACAAAGGTAAGAAGTTAGCATGATAAGACAGTGATCCTGTGAAAATAACGTTTGTTCGTGATTCTTTTTCACTCGTATTGTCTGTGCTTTGTATTGGGGGGGGGGGGGGGGGGGGGGGGGGGGGGGGGGGGGGGGGGGGGGGGGGGGGGGGGGGGGGGGGGGGGGGGGGGGGGGGGGGGGGGGGGGGGGATTACTAATATAACACTGATTGTCTGTGTCTATTGGAATATCATGCTATGAAGGCTTAGAAAATAGTCACTTGCCAAGGCAGTTATCTCACAGTGGATAGATTAGATTTTTGAATTCAGACTCTGATAGATTAAGAATTCTTGACCCAGTAGAGATTATTAATACTTAAGCTCCCATATGTGAGTGTTTAGTACCCTTAAAGATCAATTGTGTGCCTTCTGTGTTTTAACCAGTGATTCCCAAACTGCGCCACTGTGCCCCAGGGAGCTGCAACCTTTTCACAGGGGGCGCTGCAAAATATTCGAAGATACACAATTTTTTTTTAATCTCTTACATACGAATAGTCATACTTTTACTTAGGTTAGGGCGCTGTGGAAAAATGTTAATTGAAATGAGGCGCCGCGACTAAGAAATGTTTGGGAAACACTGGTTTTAACCCTTTCTTTGTCAGTAAATATCCTGTATATGAATAATTACTGCTCTTCTATGTCAAATAACATAGGAAGTGTTATTATATCCTTACATTTTGGCATGAGGACACCGAAGAAACCTGGCCACACATGTCAACATACAGCTTAGTGTGTGTTTTATAGAGGTGATTAAATGTTGCTGTTTTGAATGAAATTCTTTATTGTTTTTTTTTTCCTTGTGTTTCCCCTCTTCATGAACTGCCACTGCTGTCTGAACGATTGACACCACAGTAACTGGGAGGTCAAACCAACGGCAGCAAATCCCAGATACCCCATTCAGCTTTATCTTCTTCTTCTTTACTGTATTCACCAAATGTTAACTCTGACAGAAAATGATGGTTCATCCACTTCTGGACTTTGGGTTTCTTCCAGGGCTTGAGTTTTACATGCACATCTGTTTTACTGACTTTAAAGGAAGCAACCCTAATCAGTCACCTCTTATGACATGCTTGTAATGGGAGCCGGGGGTCTCTGTTGATTCCTCCCAAAATAGGACATAGGGACCCACATGGGGAAGTCCAGAATTATAAGTAAAGTAAAGGACCCTTTCCACGCCATAAGGTGTACAGGGCATATAGGGCTAGACCTATATTTTTATAGACCAATCGGCACAAGATGGGTGATGTGGTCAGCATCACGCTGGACGCCTTTATTTTCTGGGACTGCACCCGGTACCCACTCAAGGCTGGGTCGACCTGGGAGCCAAGGTCATTTTAAAAAAAAAGTCAGGCTCCTCCAGGGAGCGAACCCACGACATTCCGATCTGCGGGGAGCCTCTAGCCACTCGGCTACGGCGACTCCCCAGCCTTATAAGGGGTTAGTATTTTTTCACAATTGACTTTGGCTTTCTGGTTGCCCTAGCCAAAAATGGGTTCTCAATTATGCACTGAGAAGTAAACCAACCACATTGACCATCAACCTTTACTTTACGATTCATTTTTTAAATTTGTTGTTAGATAAATATAAATTACTTTGTCTGCTTGTGAATATTGCATAATTAAATAATTGCTTAAATGTTGGCTGATTTATTGATCTATGATGTGATTGGCTCATTTATTTTTTACCCATGGGAAACTGAATGGTTGATTTACACTTGACCCATGTAATTTGAATGGTTAATTTACACTTAATCCATGATGTGAATGGCTGGTTTACATCTTATCCATGCAAATGTGAATGGCTGGTTTACATCTTATCCATGTAAATGTGAATGGCTGTTTTACATCTTATCTATGTAAATGTGAATGGCTCATTTACATCTTATCCATGTAAATGTGAATGGCTCTTTTACATTTGACCCACTTAGATGCGTGTCCCCCTCATCTCCATGGAATTCAGGAAGCTATATGAGGTCCATGTAATAATGAATGGCTCAAATAGATATGAATTTTGTTTATGCATCTAAGTTACTGATATGTTTATGTGTGGTCCATGTACATACGAGCAGCTTCTACATCAAAAGATAACAAATGTATACAATAACTTTAGAAGTCAGTGGCTTTTGAATTCATGATTGACAGTTGTGTAGTGTATGTATACGTTTTGTGCAGGATAGCACCAACATGTGTTGTGACAGTGACAAAAACAAAAAGTATATCAGTGTTTAGAGAACAGAATGTTATGGCTTGCAAGCTTGAAGAGTATATTATAGAATTGAATGTTATCAGATGTAATTTAATAAATTTTGTGAAAATCTTGTTTGTTGTTATTAATATACATATGTGTGTGTGCGCATGGGCATGTGGGTGGCTGTGTGTTTGTGTGTGTATGTAGTTGTATATGTATATATGTGAAAATAAGTGGATGGGTGTGCGTACACGTGTGTGCATGCATTTTACAATCCATGCTTTTGTGTTTTTTCTAGACATTTTGCTTGCTTGCTTGCTTGCTTCCTTCCTTCCTTCCTTCCTTCCTTCCTTCCTTCCTTCCTTCCTTCCTTCCTTCCTTCCTTCCTTCCTTCCTTCCTTCCTTCCTTCCTTCCTTCCTTCCTTCCTTCCTTCCTTGCTTCCTTCCTTCCTTCCTCTTCTTCTTTGTCTTCTTCTTCATCTGTGATCCTGTCAGTCATAGATTATGGACTTGGAATGTTTTATCCTGTCAAAGAGTCAGCTGATGAAACTTAAACGCATACAGAATGAAGCCATGCAGGTCTGGGATGTACAAGAGATACTCAAGTAGTGCATACTTGCACTGCCTATTATTGCAGAGAGGCACGCAGTTCTGCATCTCTGAGTGATATCTCAGCGTAGCAGCAGACAAGAAGCACCTCCTGCATGAAGCCCTATGTATAGCTTATGGTCAAAGACTGAAAAGAGAAAGGTCTTGGATGGTGCAAGCTGAAGACACGATTGGTCATGTGTGCAGGCTTGATAAATTTGGATGAGGAGAGTAGTGCGTCTAAGTGTTCGAGCAAAAATTAGACTTGAAGAGGGTTCTAATCACTTTAGGGCTTGAGTGAGGGACTGGCCAGCTGGTGCTGCAGAATAAGAAATTAAACAATTGATTCATGACAATTCCCGCCAAATTGATGTGATTATCTATACAGATGGCTCTGTGTTGAGAGGCAGACGAAGTGCGTGGAAGTTCATAGCAAATGTGAATGGACGTCGCTTAGTGCAGCAAAGCCTGGCATATGATATCACAACGTCTAGTTTAAGAAGCTTCCACTGGTTTGAGAATCAGCTGTACGCACATGTCGTAATTGTAACTGACTTACAAAGCATTTTGAGAAAGGTGGAGATAGGTGTGCTTCATGGAGAGTGACACGCATCGTTTTAGAGGTCCCAGGTAGTTAGTATTCTTTGAATATTTTTTCCAGGTCATGCTGGTGAGTTGGGAAACGAACAAGCAGACAGACTGGCCGGCTCTGCACCACTTGGTGTTGAATTGATGTATGACAAGCTAGATGTTGTGAGGATCCTTTAAGGGCGAGTTAACAAATTGATCATTATGGTCTGAGGAGAATGGCGCAGAGAGGAGTTTACAGGGGATCTCGCCGACGCTCAACACTCAAAGCAAAGATGAGATAGATCTACAGCCAGACAGTTACTGGTGCTATCGGAATTATAAATATGATTGCTTCTGAAGATGCGGATGGAGCACATATGGGAGGGTCCCGAG